TATAACAAATTTAAAAATTATAAACAAACATCATCGTCTTTGTTAAGCGGATAACCGAAAATGTAAGGTATGTGATCACCAGAAATGGAACCTCGAATACCACTTGCAACTGTTTCTTCCGTTGTACTCTTCGATTCATGCGCAAATAAGAACCTAAACAAAGGAAAAATTTTTAATTTCAAAATATACAATGAATTCTTAAACAATATTCTCAGCAATTTGAAAATACACATACAAACAATAACAAATGAAGTGTCAAATAACTTATTTTTATTAGTACATTAATTAAACCATTTAACTCTAACACATTAATTGTCAAATAATTTATTAATAAATTAATTTAAACATTGTACGAGTTAAATTTCAAGTACATCTTAATAGATTGGAAAAGGAGTGAAATGGAAAATGAAAAGAAAAAGGATCAAATTCATACATGAAAGTGTTTGATGTTTCCCGATCGTCATCAATAGAATGCAATCGAGCTGTTTCAATCAGTGGCGCAACAAAAAGGACATCGCTAAGCGCCGCGAGAACACCATTACGGATTGTTTTTGGATGATCCTTAAATAAATATTTCAAATTTATTTATTCATATTTTTGTTCAATAAAAAGATTGTGATATTTTCTTCAGTATTTTCATTAAAATATTAAAAAAAAATTTAAACAAAAACACAAAATTTTATTAAAATTTAAATAGTCATATATGAATTAGCGTTGAATTCACCTGAATGTAATAATTAATTAATTAATAATAGTTATCAATTAGATCTTGTAATGGTTAATTTTGAGAAAAAAAAAGGTTTAATTTTGCAGGAACATAAAATATAGTAGTTTTAATGAAAAAAAAGCAAATTTTGTGAAATTCAGTGTGAGGAATTCAAAAATGATAGAATCTTTTTTTTTAAAAAAAAAAATAGATTCTAATATTATGGAAGCAATTTAAAAAAATTTTTTCTCACCTTTGGATTATCCCAATCTGTATATTCATTTATAAGTGCTGCTAAAATTTCCTTACGATGAAAATCATAAAGATTTCTTATAAGTGTTCTGAAAATAATTTTTCTTTTTCCTTTTTTTTTTTCAAACATATTTTAAGATACATTCAAAAATGATTTTAATAAAATTTAAAGAGATTTGAAAAATGAGGAATAATTAGCAAACCGGAAAATTCTTTCACGTTTCTCTTTATCGATACCCAGTCGCATATCATCATTTGGTAAAAGATGATGAGCCGGATTACTGGTCATTCCAACTAGCAAGTCAACATTACGAAATAATGAACCGTATTGTGTTCCAAATAATGCTTCCGGTTTATTTGGCACTACCTGAAATTTCATTTCTAGCAATTAAAATTATTTAAATATTCTCGAATTATACCTGTCCATCAATAATTGGCGCAAATCGTGAGAGAAATGTTGGTGTGGAAATTTTCCGCGCTGCACGTGTAATATTTTGCGGTGAATGATCTTGCATGCAACGTACGATACTTTCCGCACTTCTTTGATTATTTGATAGACGCTTTTTTTCGTCCACTTTTTCAATACACTATAATAAGTTTTTCAATTATTTTACCTAAATATTGTAAGTGAACATTTATCGATTTAAATCTAATTTGTTTAATCCATTCAACTGATAAAAGAACAAAAGGTTTAATAAGTTTAGGTTAAGCTCCAATCTCAATTCCAATTTTAATTGTAAACTTTTTAAGATGAAAAATTTCGCTCACCTAAATATTAATTTAAAAAATGAAAATTCACTTCAATTTTTTCCACATACACTTTTCAAATTAACTAAAATTTTAAATAAAATTTAGCAATTTTACAAGACATATTTTTAGTTAATTCTATTAAAATCACTTGTAGAAGTGATATAAAAAATTAAACAGTACAGCAATGAATTTTAAAATTTTGCAAAAAATCAAATTTTCTTTTGGTATTAAAAGAAAATTGCAATTCATTTAATAAGAGACATTGTAACCTTCAAATGTTCGGCAAGTTGAAAAAATATCGGTTGCGGATTTTTAGTCATTGCCCATGGCGCAAGCGCTGAACCGTCCAGAAGAACTGCCCGTCGAAACATTCGATTATTTGGTTGAGTTATTGGTGAAGCCATCAATAATGAAACCTAAAAAATAAAACAGTTTACAGTATAATATACAATGTGACATGGTTTAATGTTTTCAATTCAAAAAGTTTGTAAAATTTTCGTAATTTCTTTTTAAATTTAAAAAGGAGAAAAAAAAGTGGAAAATATCAAATCACTTACCAGTGATGCACCAGAACCCCAACCTAATAGTGTGATTAAACTTGGATCACCTCCAAAAGCCGGTAAAATATTTGTGAGCATTTTTAAAGCTGCTACCAAATCTGATAAGCCTGAATTACCGGAACAACTCGATGCTTCACATCTTCCCAAAAATCCTAAATTTAAAATTTTTTATTAGAAAAAAAAAACGAAGATATTAGTAAGTAGTTTTGGATTATACAAATATTCATTTTTATTTCAAAATATTATGGGAAGAAATAATACAACGAAGAATGATACCAAAAACACCAAGACGATAATTGAGTGTGATAACGATAATTTGACCGTATGATGCAAGTATGGTACCATTGTATGGATTACCACTATTCCAACCATATTCATCACCGTGTACCACCACAAGAACCGGTAATTGTTTTTGATTTGAAGCTACATGAGAAGCTGAAAACTTTTGTAATAATTAGATTTTTTATAAAATAGAAAATTAATTTCACAATTTTATCTTATTCAATATGCTGATAAGGAAATAATTTTAATTTCATCTAATCAAACTAATTTTAAAAACGGTATTAATCAAATAAGAATTCTCTCTTTGTAAAATTAAAAACATAAAAAACCGCTAAAAACTTTAGGTAAAATTTTTCAATAAGGTGGAATTTTTTTAATTTTGAAATTTTAACAAAAAACAAGCACATACAAATTCTTTCAGGAACGTATAAATTCATATGCAAGCAATCCTCGGATTGTGGTTTTAATTTTGGTAATAATTTGTGCATATGATCATAACGTTGCGCTGATGTCGTCTTGAGCGCTCTGAAAAAATGAAACTTCTGATCTAAATGGTAAAGCAATTCAAATTTGTTAATTGTAATTCTGTTTAAAAATGAAAAAATTTGCGCGATTTTTATGTAATTATTTGGATCAAATAAAATTATTCTAAATTTTACTATAATTGCAAAAAAAAAAATTTGATGACAAAAATATCCATCAATCAACAGTATAGAGAGAAAGAGAGAGAAGGAGGAAATTTTGAAATGAATATAATTTTCATCGATATCATTCTAGTCGAGATATATCTAAAATGTTCATAGCAAAAGATGCAAACTTATATTATAGTATGGTATGATAAAATGGAAGGCCAAAAAAAAGTTTTTTTTTTCTAACTTTGTCTCAGCAAATTCCGGAATTCCGGACTGTATGCAAACAGATGATAAGCTATAAGCATCCTTAGGCATATGAGTCCATTTTGCCGCTGATATAGCCATGTTGAAACGATACTAAACAAGTGAAATGAAATGTAATTAATAAATTTTTCATCTAATCAAGTTTAACAATTATAATGTAAATTATTAATGAGATTTAATTAAATAAATGCAAAAATTTTGAAAAACAGGAAAAAAAAACGATGGAAATACCTGCCCGGAAGGTGCGATACCATATGGAACTCCAAGATATTGTACCACAGGTGATAAATCATCAACATTTGGACTTACCATTTCACCTCGTAATACACCAAAGGTAGTGGTAACTGTTCGAATTCCGGTATCACATCTAAAATTTTTTGGACTAATTTTGTTTAATGATGAATTAAAGAATTATCATATATTTAAAGAAATGATTTTTTTTTTTGAATTCAAACTTTTGAAATTTGCTATTACGTTTTTTATTTTTTTTCTCATTTACGTTTTTTTTTTTACCAATATAATTTCATTTTATTATAAATTTTCCCAAAATCTAAAAAAAAAAAAATTAAATCCAAAAAGTTGCTACCACTATTTCAGTCATGAAGCATTTTTCAAAATTAACTGAAATACAATTTGACAGAAAAAAAGAGAGAGAAAAACATTATTTGGTAAGAAGCTGATTTAATCGTATCATTACTAAAAAGAAAGCTCTCCGTAATGTGATTTCTTTCAAAGAAAATGAGATTTCAAAAGTGAGCTTCTTCTGCAATTGTTTAAAAAAAATTCAATCAAACTTTCAATCAATCTTTCTAAAAGCAAATCAATGAAAATTATTTTCTCCAAGTGATCGAAATTCCACTCATTAATAAAAAATCAAGAATTGCTACTTAAATTGAATAATTATCAATTTATATATTGTTTTTGTTTGCCATCAGCAATAGCAAATTGATGGCTATCATTGCTTAATTTTTGTTGGCTTAATTTTATTTGACCTAAGATTTCACTGTTTTATTTGCAAAAATTGAAATATCGCTATCAGAAAAGCTAAAAAAAGAATGTTTCATTTTTTTTTGTACATTTAAAATTTTTACGAATCTTTCAAATTTCTAAATTACTATCATTCAAAGTACACGAAATTATTTTCTATTTCAAATTTTTATTTTTTTCTCGTCATTTTCCATTTTCTGTTTTATTTTCAAATTTACTTCATTCCTTACAGTATACAATTTGTGTTGTGCAGAAGCTAATTAGTTGAAGAAAGCATTCAAATTTTGCATTCAGTTCTTGGTTATTGTAATAAAATAATGTCTTGGCCGAAAAAAAATTATTTCAAATAAAAGTTAGGCCTTTATTTGAAATAATTTTTTCTCTATAAGTAATTATATAAGTAATTTGCTACAAACCTAATTATTATTTGCAATGAAGTTAATTTACAACTAAATTATAAAAGAAAATTGAAGAAAATGAATTATTTTTTTGCATATAAAAATGTACATTTTTAAGTAGTATTAAAAAATTTTAATTTATAAATCGATTCGAACTTTTCGAAGTTATTAGTGCTAAAGTTAAAATTAAATTAAAAGAGATGGAATAACAAAATGTGATCGAAAATATATCATATAAGTTTTAAGTGACAGAGTTTATTAATTTGAAAAATAATTTGTTACGATGCAAAAATAAATCTCAAATTATCATATATTATCACATTATCATGTATTCATTATTTTCGTTATTTCTTTTTATCATTATTTTTAACAATTTAGCTCACAGTTTTTGGAAGACTTTTTCGATATTCGTTTGGCATATTTTATCATGAAAAATATTAGCTCGAAATAAAATTTTGTCGAGCTAAATGAAAAGCAAATATTCATTGCATTTATTAAAGTCTGTACTTCTAAGATTTCTCATTTGCAATAGTGAAAAAAAATTTCAAAGGTACAAATTTCAGTTAATTTAAATTTCTAACTCAATAATTATTTCAAGATAAATGCTCGTTCTTTTTAGAAAATGTAATTTATGCGCCACGGATAAAAGAAAATTAATTTTCAACATTTCATGACATAATTTATCATATTTAAATTATTTTTTAGGATAAAAAATAGCATGATGGGGCTCTACTACTGATTAGTAATTTACTTCATTTGAGAGACTTAAATGGGTTGAAAAGTAAATTCACTTAAGTAACTTTTACTTGTAACTTTGCAAATCTTACGCATTTGTATAACAAAAAAAAACTTCATCATGATAATAATCTAACTCATTACATAATCAACTACTATCGTGCACTCTGATTATTCCCATCGAAACAAAAAATATTAATCGTTGAAGTAAAATTTAACAAATCATTTGTGAAACTTTAAGTATGATATTTTATCAAATTTAGTCATAGAAGTTTCTGGAAAATGTTACCTGATACGGTATGATAGTTGAAAAATTGTGATAATGATGAGATAAACCGTAAATATATCCATGAAGAATTGCTGATTTTCTATGACTCAAATTATTACTCGAATAAATGAGTTGAGTGGAAAAGATGAAAGTTCCATTCTTCTTTCTTATCACCTTAAAATTACTTATCAATGCTTATCAACTACCGCAAAATTTTTATGCTTGCTATTATTTTCATAAAATATAAATGATAGAATAAATTTGAAGATTACTGAAAATTGATTAGTAAAAATCCTCATCAAAGAATATTATATTGAAAAAAAAAAGTATGAAAGATATGAAAAAATTGAATTTTCCATCTTTGGCTTTTTACTTCAATTTTTAAAATGTTTACTTCATGTTACTAGCTATGCTAATCAGTGCAAAAAAAATAAGGGAAAAAATACAATTAAAATTAATCATATTATTTATATCATAGATATTTAAATTCAAACCTTTGATATTTTCTATTGCAAATATTCGATATATCAATATATTTATATTCAAATATCAAACTGCTTGGTCTTCCGATGTATACTGGTATTAAAATTTAATTTAAATTTTCAATGATAAATCTTGCAACTAACTCTCATTATAACAAGTAATATTATTTAAAAATATAGAATGAAATTAGTAGCAGCATGAAATATTTGTAACAATAAAATATCCTAATTTGATCATTAACGAATTGATTTCTCTTGCTTGTTGTAATTTCGTTGAATAATTATTGAAAATTTGAATTGTAATGAATTTTTAGAACGGATTGTATCAGCTTGAATTATATCATTTATTTGCTGCACAAAGGCGGTAAATGATATTCAATATGCTTCCAAATTGCAATCTGAAACATTTGCGCATTCAATACAAATTATGCATATCGTTAATTGATAATTACACAAAAATAACAGAAAAAATTTTGTTTTAATTAATTTTCAAAAATTTTAACCAAAAATTCTCACAGTCAAGAAGTATGGTAGTGAATTCGAAAAGATAATTATGTAAAAAATGTTCCTGCAAAATTTAATTTTCTAATTATTACATTTCAATGAGAGATTTAATGAATTATTTCTCTTAATTTGGCCTAAATTTTAATCTTATTTTAAACAAGATTAAAGAATTTTTAGTAAAGTTACAAAGTGAGCTAAGATTTTGTGACAAAATAATTTAGGTATCTGCGAGAACAACGAAACATAATTTATATAAAATGAAATTATAAATTTTACAAAAACAAATTTATAATTTAGCAATGAAATTACATTTAATAAGCTACCATGAATAAGAGCGATGAAAACTCTCCTGCATCTAATGACAAAATCAATTTTATACTTTTAGTGAAACTTTATTATTTCAATTTTTATTTCATAAAATTTATCACATCAATATTTTCCGAAAATATTTTATGCCATCATACAGTAAGCTATAAAAAATGAAATTAAAACAAAATAATGATATGTAAGAGTTAATTAATTAATAGCTCTACTAATAAATATCTCTTCTATCTGTAAACATTTTAAGCGTAAATAACCATATGTTAAATTACATTCAAACAATAAGTTCACGTATTATACACGTTGGTCCATGTATTACACTTTTTTCGGTTAAATTAAACAATCACATTTACAAATAATAAAAAAAGTACGCGTATAATGTTGAAATATATATTCACTCATAATAATATCGATAAAATAAAAAAAAAAAAGTAAATTAAGTAGCGATAAAGGAATGGAAAAAAAGTAATTCTTAAATTGCGTGAAATTAGAAGTGTAATTTTTTTAATTTTGATGTGAGTGTATATTTGTTCCGATGATAGGTCAGTCTGTATGTGTCACTTATCTAATGATTAGCATCTCAGCAAATGAATTAGTGAATTCTCATTAGTTTAGTTTAGTTTTTATGCAGTTAGATAATTTGCTAAATAAGATCAATATTCTAGCATTTACTATAGTGATGCCACACTTAGCATTTTTAAAAAAGAATAATATAATTTTGAAAAAGTTAATTTAAAAAAAAAAACTCAATATTAGCATAAAATAATTTAAGAAAAATAAGAAAAAAATCATTAAAAAAGTTAAGCATTCTTTTCTTTTTTCAGCAGAGAAACAAAAAAAAAAAGGCTTAGATTAATGGACTGTAAAGCCTTAGCTTTAAATCGATTGGATGAATCATACAGACAGATTTATGTGATGAAGAAAAAAATGAATGAGTTCTTTTTAACCATTATTGAAAATTTTATTCGAAAATGGATAAATTTTGTTGACATTTTTATTATTTTGAAATAAAAATAACAACAACAAAAAAAATAACTGAGTAAATAAATTGTTTTGAAGAATAAAATTCAAATGAAAGAAATCTTTTTATTTTGTTTCTAAGATTTTTCTAATAAATTTACTGATAGTGATTGAGAATTTCGCAAATGGAACATAACATTGTCAATTTGAAATTCTAAAATGACGTTAGCAGTTTGGAAGGATGGAGCGAAATTATAGAGAGCCATGCCTAAACTAACTTACACATCTACATTAAATGAGAATAAAAGGCGCTAAATGCGCACATTTCTATAAATGGGAGTGCGTGTATGTGTGTGTGTGTGTGTGTGTATGTGTGTGTGT